TGGATGGATGGATGGATGGGTGGGTGGATAGGTGGGTGGGTGGATGGATGGATGGATGGAGGAGTTGAGGGGTGGATGGGTGGATGGGTGGATGGAGGAGTTGAGGGGTGGATGGGTGGATGGTGAACTGACAGCATGTGATGGATGACAGGCAGGTGGATGGATGGGTAACAGAAGAGTGTGGTGGAAATGCCCTGCTTAGCATCACTACTCTGTGGTACCTGGAGCTGGTGGACAATGGTCCAGAGAAGGACACTGAGATTCTCAGCTGCAGATTCCTGTTAAGTCACGGTGAGGATAGCTGAGTCTCTCAAAGGTGTCTCCTCCCTCAGGTGGGCCTGGAACGCTTCCATGGCGTGGGTATCATGGGCTTCAACTCCACGGAGTGGGTGATTGCCAACATTGGAGCCATCATGGCAGGGTAAGGGGCACCCGGCCTGTCCTCTGAGTGTCTTGGGGTCTTGCCTCTGTGGAAGTCGGTTGTGTTCTTTCAGTTCGGGGAGCTCTGACGATGACACAGTCTTAGCACGCTCGTCTCTCTGTCCTGGACATTCTCTCCCCATCAAACTCCTATATACCCTCCGGAGCCCAACGCTTATGCCCCTTTAGACGTACTTTCTATTTCCTTCAGCGTCCTAGCACTGAGCCCTCCCCACACTCACGCTGAACAGTTGTGGAAGCGTTGAAAGGGGTGCCCCTGAGCCCCACCTTCCAAGGGTGTCTGGAGAACCCCCAAGAGTCCCACAGCTACCCAAAGCCCTCCTCACTGGATCTTCAGCTCCTGAATTCTGCTTCCAGCGGCATCTCTGTGGGCATCTTGTGCAGTAACTCACCGAAAGTCTGCCAGGTCATCGCCGAGGCTTCAGAGATGGACATCTTCGTGGTGGATAATGACAGACAGCTGCAGAAAGTTAACCAGGTGAGAGTCACTGGGGTGCACGGGGTCTGGGATGCCGTCGGTAAAAGGACTGATACGGGCACAAGACCAAGCTGTCAGCACAAAGGAGATTCATTTGCCCAGAGGGACAGTCGGGAAATAAGAGACAAACACAGGAGACAGAGGATGAGGGAGAAGGGGCTGGGTATTTGTCCTGGAGGACAAAGGGCCGCCTCTGGACAGACAGGAGACACACATGGCCAATAGGAAAGTGGTGGTTTATAAAGGTAAAATGGGAAACTCTGTGTTAGAATGAGGTGTTTAGTTTTAAATGAACATGTTAATTATGTAAGCCAAAGGAGGCTTCTGATTGCTGGACTCCAACACTTTGATAGCTGGACCTTGGCAGTCAGCCTCAGGAGGAGGAAGGGGCAGATAAGGGGACGGACCTTGGTGGTCAGCCTCGGGAGGAGGAAGGGGCAGATAAGGGGACGGACCTTGGTGGTCAGCCTCAGGAGGAGGAAGGGGCAGATAAGGGGACGGACCTTGGTGTGCGGCTTCAGGAATGGAATCTAACGGTTTTTTAGCAAGGCAGACGGAATGGGGGGAAGGGCAAGGCCTGCCAGAGCCACAGGCTGGAGTGGGCTAGTGGTGCCCCTCCACTCAGGTGTGTGGTACTCTCTCGGATCCGTGGGGTCTGGGATGCCCATGCCTGCATCATGCACACAACAGGAGTACTAAATTTTAAAAATCCCGTGGAGAGAAATAGAGGAAAACACCAACGCCGTGAAGGTGTGAGTATGGCCTTTGTGTATGTACACACACAACAGAAATGAAATAAAATAGGATGAATGGAAAGAAAGGGGGGGCTCACCAGCGGAACACCTGCTCAGTGTGCGTAGGCTCCACGCCATGAAGTAGAAAACCAAATGGTTTAAAGTGGAGTAACCGTGTATTTTCACGTGTTCAGGACCCAGGACAGGGGCGGAAGGGCTGGCTCAGCAGTTAAAAGCACTTGCAGCATCCTGCTGGCTGCTCTTGCAGAGGACCCAGGTTCAATTCCCAGCACCCACACAGCGGCTCGGGGCCACCTGGAACTCCAGCTCCAGGGATGAGACGCTCCCTTCTGGCCTCCACACTGCACATAAGCCATGCAGGCGCACATATGCATACAGGTGACAGAACTAAAAAGAATATATGTGTACACACACACACACATATTTTTTAAAAGAACACAGAACTCAGTGGGACCCACAGTGCTCTCCTGGCATGGATGAGGCCCTGGGTTCCACCCCCACCACCACAGAAACCATCTGTGGCAGTAAGGCCAGTCAGAATGTCAAGGTCACTTGCCACTACGTCGTGAGTTTGAGTTCAGCCTGAGCTACAGGAGTCCCACTTTTGCTGGTGCTGACCCCATGGCGTCCTCCAGATCCAGGGCTACCTGAAGCATCTCAAGGCCATCATACAATACAGAGAAGACATCCAGGAAGTACAGCCAAATCTATACTCGGTACGCCCAGGGAGTCAGAAAGCCAGCCCACAGGCCCAGCCGCGGAGGCCAAGCCAGGGGCTGGGTGGCATGGAGAGTCCAGAGCAGCCAAAGTGGGACTCTTCAGTGGGTGTCCTTATGTGTCTGGCATTATCTTCTCAGAGCTCCTCCACTTTGGAGCATGTATGGAATGCCTTTCCTTTTCATGACTAATATTCCAGTGTACAGATGGAGCTGAGGCTGGGCGGGGGGTGTCTCTGGGGTAGCCTCTACTCCCCCAAAACCCATTGGACAGCCTTTCTACAGTGGAAAGGGTTCCTGGACCTCGCAGATGGCATCTCGGATGAAAAGTTGGACCAAGTCATCGACTCACAGAAGCCTAACCAGTGCTGTGCTTTGGTATACAACCAGGGCACATCCGGGGCCCCAAAGGCCATGATGCTCAGCCACGACAATGTGAGTGATGCTCCCCGGGGGGTCGGGGGGTGGGGGTGGGGGGCGCCGGCCCGGCGCGGTGGCTCTTGGAACTAAGGAACATAGGCTGACTTAGCCAGGTACCTTCCAGATCACATGGACCACAGCGGCCACCGTTCAGAGCCTGGAGTTCAAGTGTCCGCCTGATGGCCAGGAGATCTTTGTGAGCTACCTGCCGCTCTGCTTCGCGGGGGCCCAGATCTTGGATGTGTGGGTGGCCATCTCCGTGGCTGCAACAGTCTACTTCCCCTCAGCAGAGGCAGGGAACTGGAGCGGGCCAGCACGAGCCCCTGGCACGGTGAGCTCTGGGGGTGAGAGTGACAGTGGCCCGATCTGGGCAGCGAAGGACCGGGGGCAGGGGATCCTTCGCTGTCGCTAGGCCAGCTCTGGCAGAGGGTCGAAGTGGCAAGAGCAGGGGGCAGGCGGCTGCAGCGCTCCCTCTGCCCGCCCCCCGGCCTTTGCCCCCGCCTTTCTGGCCCTTTTTCCTTCTCTCCCCGACTCGGGGGCAGGGGCCTCGGTGGTGTGGCTCTGCCTGTCACCTGCGCTGTCCTCGGCCCCACGCTGAAGCTTACTGCCTCATGACCCTGGTGTGCATGGGGGTCCCCCAGCGCCCCATCCCGCCCCATCCAGGGCTTCCTGACGGAGATGCTCCGCGAGGTCCAGCCCACCACGTTCTGCGGCATCCCGTGGGTGTGGGACCGCATGCTGGACAGCCTGCAGACCAAGCACCTGGATGCCACGGCCTTCCGCAGGAGGATCGACCGCTGGGCCATGCACATGGGGCTCAGCACCAATAGGAGGCGGCTGCTCGGGTGCGGCGGGCGCTGGAGGCGGGGCGGAGGGGACCCGGGGGCGGGGCGGAGGGGACCCGGGGGCGGGGCGGAGGGGACCCGGGGGCGGG